AAAGGCTCTCAATCTGGAACAAGTGCTATTTGTATCAGTGTGACTCCCAGTATCTGACGGCTCCAGAAGTGTGACAATTATAATTAAGTTTGAAATGCTGAATGAAGCTTGCAACTTCATTATACTAGCATAAAGTGCCAACCTAAATGCTTGAACTTACCTGCCTCAATTAAAGCCAGAAATGAATAAAGGAGGCAGGTGTGGTTTTGGATCTGGTCTTGGAGATCCTATTCTTCACTTGATCAGACCCCACCTTATTGTGTGGTTAAACATCTCCATGTTGTTATGCACACAGTCATGTCTATAACCTACCTGGTTTTTCTGAGATGCCCAGAGTAATAGACTTGCTGGGTCATTTTTCAACTCTATTTCTTTCTTTTTAAAATCCAAATCACTTTCAGCTTCATCATCTTCCTCCTCGGATTCTCCAGGCCACATACTGTGTGTTCCCATAGGTATCAGATGTCCATGTGTCTCTAATAGGTCCAATTGATTGAAGTAGTCTGGAAAGTCCACCATCCCTTCAGTGGTGGACTCCAAATGTGTATTTTCTCCAGATGAGAGACTCTCTCTCAAAGGTTCTGCAACAAGTGCTTTCGTATTATTTTTCTCTTGTCTATTCATCATCTGAAATACAATAAATTAGGAAAATGATATGGCAAGTGAGCCTGAAAATATGAATTCACTTTTAAACAGCATGACAAAACAAGATCTGCTGTGTACCAACTGCCACAGGTGATGCTGTATCCAAGTCCATTTCCTTACACCCATTTGTGCACTGCCTAATGTCATTTCTTTATTTTTGAAAAAGGACCTTTATAAAGCCAAGTCCAGCTAAGTACAAAACAACAACTTGTGTCAATCTTACTTCACTGGAAAGAATGGAAAAAAGCAGTTAGCAGCCCAAACAGATTGATGGAACTTTACATGCACGAACAAGTGAAAAATGCTTTATCTGGGTCCTGAAAGAAAGACTAAGTGCGTGGGCATGTTGAATAGACTGACCTTTTCTCCCTGGCAGCAAACCTTTGCTAGAAGAGGCATGCAAATAGTCTTAATCTTTTCTTTCCTTATCATCAGCAAGGATTATTATTTAGTAATATAAAAATATATTAAGATGTGGTACAAGATAAAGTACAGGTTTCATCTTGATGTTTAAAAGTGCTGGATTCTAATCTCCTGATCATTAAGAAGTTGTTAACAGGGAAACTGATGGATCAATCTTCAATAGATAGATAAATTAAAAAAAGGAGGAAACTGTCAATACCTATTCCTGAAAGCACTCTAAACTGGAACATCAAATTCCAAGTAGAGGTATGAGAGACACAATGAAGCCAGACACTGATTAGGATTGAAGCGATCTTAAAAAAAAAGCTGGATCAGTAGTCAAAACTCAGACATGAGGGTGTAGGTGAACAATGCATGAGCAACTTCTAAGCGCAGAAGCGTTACCAGCTAGAGGGACAAAAAAGGTACCAGATGCATGGGAACATCAAGCTACAGACAATCCTATCGGAACTATCACTGAAGGAACAATGAAGAACAACAGAATAAGGAAAGTTACAGCACAGGAACAGACCCTTTGGCCCTCCAAGCCTGCACTGTCATGCTGCCTGTCATAACTAAAAACCCCTACCCTTCTGGGGACTGTACCCTTCTATCCTCATCCTATTCATGTACTTGTCCAGAGGCCCTTTAAATGTCACTATAGTGTCGGCTTCCACTACCTCCCCCGGCAGGGAGTTTCAGGCACCCACCACCCTCAAAAGCTTGCCTCATACATCACCTGTAAACCTTGCCCCTCACCTTAAATCTATGCTCCCTAGTAACTGACTGTTCCACTCTTGGGGGAGGTGGTGGCGGGAATGCTTCTGACAGTCTATGCCCTTCATGATCTTGAGGACCTCTATCAGGTTGCTCCTCAACCTCTGTCGTTCTAGTGAGAACAACCCAAGTTTCTCCAACCTCTCCTCATACAGAATGCCCTCTGTACCAGGCAACATCCTGGTAAATCTTGTGTTCCCTCTCCAAAGCCACCACATCCTTCTGGTAGTGTGGCGACCAGAATTGAACACATATTCCAAATGCGGCCTAACCAAGGTTCTAAAAAGCTACAACATTACTTGCCAATTTTTAAACTCGATGCCCCAGCCGATGAAGGCAAGCATGTCATATTCCTTGTTGACAAGCTCCTCCACTTGTGTTGCCTCTTTCAGTGAGCTGTGTACCTGTACACCCAGATCCCTCTGCCTACCAGTATTCTTAAGGGTTCTACCATTTACAGTATATTTTCCATCTGGAGTAGACCTTCCAAAATGCATCACCTCATTTTTCCAGATTAAACTCCATCTGCCATCTCTCTGCCCAAGTCACCAACTGATCTACATCTTGCTGCATCCTCTGACAGTCCTCATCGCTATCAGCGATTCCACCAATTTTTGTCATCGGCAAACTTCTTAATCAAGCCAAAAGGTTCCAACACTGATCTGAGGAACGCTACTAGTCACAACCCTCCATTCAGAAATGCTGTTATGTGTCAATATCCTGGAATTCCCTTCCTAATAGTATTATTGTGTACTTCATGCCCAAATACAGCAGCAGTTCAAGTGGTTAGTTCACCACCACTTTTTAGGGAAAAGAAAAGATTAAGCAATAAATGCTGGCTCAGCCAGCAGTGTCCATATCCCAACAAATGAATAAAAAACCAAGCTTTTCACAAAGGGGTGGGTCAGGTAATGATTTCTCACCATTAGTCATCTAGAGAAATATTTTTCTACATTCAAAAAGGGTGCTCTACAAATAGTCTGAAGCCAATTCTAAGCCTGTTTGGTGACATCATCTGAGCAACTTTACAAAACCTATGTTACTGCCTTTCTGGCATGGTTACCCCTTTCTCCAAGATAACACTGCATTAACACCTAACCGAAGGTATGATGTCAATAATAACTATTAGTATTATCGGAAACTTTTAATTAAACTATACTTAGTTATGGTTCCCCATAGAGTCAGGTAACAGATACTTGAACTTCCAGCAGCTGACTGACAAGATCACACAAGATTTTAGATCTTTACTGTAAGAAACTAAAAGCAATATTGTTTAAATGCTATTCAGAAGCTAACTAATACTGAAAATTAGAGGCAAGAAAGTCCATTACCTAACTTTTAAAAGTCTCCCACCATGGTCATGCTTTTCCCAATCGGAGTGGACACTTCATTCTCAAGAAAGTGATTTAAAGTTTGAGCTCCCAATGACTCACTTCAATCTTCTTCCCCCCCTTTCACACCCAGAAAGTTTCTAATCCTGGAACTGACTTTCATTTTGAGGGTTACACTGCAGATTCCTTACTTATGCCTAGTCTAGGCAAAATTTTCCAGACTCTATTTGAATTCAGTCTTTGCGATCAGAGCACATAATGATGAAGTGCTTCATGAGATTAGTCATGGCTCACATCAACTCTAGCCTCCCTTGTAATTTGCCTACCAGCAAAATAGGTCCACAGTAGACACTATTTCCTGATCCTACACTCAATCGCTGGAACATCTGGATAATAAAGGATACGCAAGGCTTCTACTTATTGACTACTGCTCTGCCTTCAATATTATTATGCCAAAAAAACTAATCTCAACTCAGAGACCTAGATCTATGCTCCACCCTCTGCACCTGGATCTTGACTCCTTGATCCACGGACAACAGTGAAGATAGGCAACAGCACCAGCTCCAGGTCCACAACAATCCTCAACACTGGCACCCGACAAGGATGTGTACTCAGCCCCCTACTGTACTCCCTGTACACTCATGACTGTGGCCAGATTTCATCCAAACTCCAAGTTCACTGATGATACTGTTGTAGGCTGGATATCAAGCCATGATTAGGGCTGAAGGGTCTGTTTCCATGCTGTACAACTCTAGGACTCTATGACAAGACAGAATATGGGAAAGAGGGACAGTGCTTGGTGACATGGTGCAAAGATAACACAATCTCTCCCTTGATTTAGCAAAACTAAAGAGCTGATCAGTCTTCAGGAAGCAAGGAGTGCATGACCCTATCTACATCAATGGACCAGAGGTGGAGATGATAGAAAGTGTCAAGTTTTTAGGAGTGATGATCACCAATCTGTCTTGGATCACCCACATCAATGCAACAGTCAAGAAGGCACATCAATGCCTCTTACTTCCTTAAGATCCTGAAGAAATTCGGCACGTTCATAAGGACCCTCACCAACTTTTATAGATGCACCATCGAATGCTTTCTATCCAGATGTATCATGGCTTGGTGCAACAACTGCTCTGCCAAGGACTGTAAGAAACTACAGAAAGTTGTGAACCCAGCCTAGGCCATCACACAAGCCACCCTTCCATCCACTAACACCTTCTACACTTCTCATTGGCTGCCCTTCTGCAGCAAAGACCGTGCCCACCCCAGTTATAACCTCTTCCAACCACTTCAATCAGGCAGAAGATACAAAAGCTTAAAACAGACATGACAAAAAGGTTCAAGAACAGCTTCTTCCTACCCCTTCCCCCAACACTGGACTTCTGAATGGACTTCAAATTTCAAGTCTGTTTATCTTGCCTTTGGGCACCTTCTTTGCAGCTGTACTTTTCAACAGAGTGTGGAATATAATGACACTTTGATGTTATGATCTGCCTGTACTGCATGCAAAACAACTTTTCACTGTATCTAGGTACATGTGAGAACAATAAATCAAATAAACCAAATTCCCACCCACATTTTACATGATCAATAGAGACAGGATTTTCTCTTTTAGCACAGGATTAACCATATTTTGGCTCTTGCTCAGATTCTTGCAGGCTGAGATGTGTCGTCAAATTTCAGACATACAACTAGAAAGTAAATCACAATGACTTTTCATGGGAATGGACATTCCCAACACTCAGGCACACAGCAATGTGAGCCATATGAACTTTGCATCAAGACAAAAATGCAACTTATCACTTAACTCTAATCTACCTTGGAAACAAACAGTTTAAAGGCTTAATCATTTATAAAGCATGACATTCCTAAAACCTTTTTGTGTTAGACTTGAAAACCAACAGCTTACCCATGGATAGCACAGCTGCTCATACAATTGTCTACAGTTGTGACTGTCCAGCATATTCTTCCCACTAAGTTAAAATGGTCCCGCTTAGTACCATGCCAAACAAACCACCCAAGTTGCTTACTGTGTCAAATTCAGAGCTGGCCATAAGGCCATCACTACTCAATTTTAGATAGTTAACTCTTTCAGTTTATACTTGGTTTATTGATATTTTAAAAACTCTTCACTTTTGCACAGAGAATCTGAACTGAAAAGGCAGAGCTATTTTAAAACAAGTGTTTGAAAGGATTGCTGCAGTTTTGAAAAGCAAATAACCTGAAACCCATGGCAAGGATTGCGAACAAAAGTTGGAGACCATTGAGCTTGGGGTGTTGGGGCAGGGAAAGAGGAACAGGATCATGCAGCTTTTGTTGGCAAAAAGAGAGAAGCTGATTAGCTACTGCTAAGCCTCTAAGCATGGCTACCGTGAAGTTATCCTCCTCCCTCCAGAAAGGCCTTAGTGGAACTCTCTCCCACTGCAACTCTCTGGTAATCTCTTCAGTCCTGAAACTCTTCAAACACAT